AAAAAAAAAAAAAAAAAAAAAAAAAATACCAAATATATAAGGTCTTAATCTATTAATATGATAGTTTTCATTCACAGAAAAAATTATTTATTGTGTATAATTCAGAAGTTACACAATAACCCATAATATAGATTACTGTACTCTTTTATTGCCCATATGTCATTTTTGTATCAAGAATATGCTCACCTTGTAAAAGAATGTAGGAGGTTAGTGTCTTTCTACTCCTTAGAAGCCTTTATATAAAATTAGTATTATTTTCTCTTCAAATATTTGATAAAAGTTACCTGTAAAACTATGTCAGAAATTTTTCTTTGTAGAAAGATTTCGAGTTACTGATAAATGACTCAGTAATTTAATGCTCTTTGTAAAAAGCACTCAGTTTGGATCTTCTACATCTATAAATATATTTCTCTTTGTATTCCACAGTGGTATCAACAACTGTGTCTCCTCTTCCTTCATCAGTATTTCCAGCTGATAACAATTATAAATTGTTTTATTTTCCATCTTCCAACTGTTAGGTTTGTTACTCTTTTTTAAATTTTGGTTTTCTGCTCTGATGTTTCTCTCTTCCACATTTTCTTTGGTATTATTTTGTTCTTTTTCTCAATTTTGAAAGTTGGAATCTTAGCTCATTAATTTTAGCCTTTCTTCTTTGCTAATAACAGCCTTTAAGGTTATACATTTCAATCTAAATAAAACTTTTTAACTGTATTTCATATATTCTGACACTATTTACCATATTATTCCACATTAAAAAATATATAGTTTCTTCTTTGATGCATGGGTTATATGGAAGTACTTCTTTAAAAACACTGAAATATCTGTATTTGCTTTTCTTGTCATAGATTCTTACTGAATTCCACTATGGTTAGAGAATATGGTCTGTAATTTTCTGTAATTCTTTATGATGTATCGATAATTGTTTTATGACCTAGTATGTGTTCACTTTTTATAGTTAATTAAGAATAACATTCGATTATTGGAAACAGAATTTTCTATATCTATTAGAATTGAACTATAAAAGAAGATGACTTTCTTTGGGCAGAGGAAGATTAATAACTTTTTACATCTATATATTTTATTCATACTGTAAGCAAAGTTTTCTGGATAAGACTCAGACTGATTATTTACTTAGATTGTATAAAAGATTAACACAGACAAGTACTAGCTAAAACAATGAACACTGATTTAGTAACCACTCACAGTAGAGGAAAGAGCTGAGCTCCACTTTGATTTGTGAAGAGATTATTGGTTTTTTTAAGGAAGGATTAGGAAGGGGAGAGCTAGGTAGAGTCAAAGAAGTGAAAAATTTACAAAGGAGTGATCAGTACAAATATGATTAGGCAAGTTGTGTTTGCTAACATTCTAATGAAAGTTAGAATTCTGTCTTCCCAGAGAGACAGGAAGACAGAGGCCCTATCTTTCCTGGTGATAACTGAAAAAATGATTAACTGCAAAATTTATTAATTGTGTGTAATTCATAGGTTATACAGAAACCCACAATATAGATTACTGTACTATTTTCTCAAGTTGCCCATGGCCATTTTAAAGAAATGGCTCTCAGTTGTAAGTGATACATAGTCACAATTGTAAACCATTTTTAAAATGGAAGGTATGGAGCCTACTGTCAGCAGTTGACTAGAACAAACAGTAAATTCTCCTGGCAGCATTGAGCTTTCTCAGCTAGCCATTATAACTGGGGCTGTAGTCATCCTGGGAACACAGCTCTGTGTTGCTAGAGGCCATGCTGGAATTTGATCATCTCTCAGTGCACAGGTTTGGATGGAGTCATTATGTTGTGAGAGTTCTGCAGTTCTCTAGCAATCTTAGTGCTGGTTTCCAGTGCCCTATTTCCCTTTTGGAGCAATAGAGTGTGGGCATATATCACCCTGTATGTAAAGGGGGAGGGGCTCTTTAGGAGAGGACCTGAAAATTATGAATCTTGGAATTTGTGTAGAAACTGCTGCAGAGATGCCTGTCTTCCCCCACGGAGAAGAGAAATAAACTTGTGCTCTCCAATGTAATCCTCTCTGGAAAGAGAAGGGGAAGGTCCCCAAGTTGTTAAAACTCTTTTCAATGTAAACAAATGGGTTTAGGAGAGACAAATCATTATAAGTCTCTCCTGGGTATTTCACTGTCTTTAATGTCCAAAGCTTATTTTCTGTTCACTCATCCTTTAACTCAGGTTATGAGTAATGTTTTACCAGAAAGCCCAGACTATACAGAAAAACAAAAATATTTGTTGCAACAGAGATACCCCATTTCCCTTAATGTCTACATTGGCAGACCCAAGTCACATGGGGAAGTAGCCCAATTCTAATTTGCTGGTTATGTCCCATCCTCCTATTGTTGGTTATTACTGGATGGTTATATTGCCTTGGGATTTCAGCCACAAGAAATGTGGATGTTTAGAATTCATCTCTTACCTTTAACTACTCCACAACATGCTACTCTTTCAGCCTCCACTCTGTCATGATGGTAATGGAGGTAGAAGTAGGGATGTCTCTTCTATATTTTAGAAGTGTCATATGTCAAACATAAAATCGATTAATTAAATCTAAGACCTGAAACTATGGAACTACTAGAAGAAAACATAAGGAAATGCTCCAGGGCATCGGTCTAGGCAAAGACTTTTGTGTACGGCCTCAAAACAATAGAAAACAAAAGCAAAAATAGACAAATGGGATTACATTAAGCTTAGAAGATTCTGCATTGTAAAGGAAGCAGTCAACAAAGTGGGAAGTCAACCTATAGAACAGGAGAAATAACTTGCAAAGTATCCATCTGTCAAGGGGTTAATAACCAGAATATATAAGTAACTCAAACAACTCAATAGCAAAAACGCAAATAATCCACTTAAAATGAGCAAAAGATCTGGATAGACATTTCTCAAAAGAAGACATACAAATAAGCAACAAGTATATGAAAAAAATGCTCAACATCACAAATCATGGAAGAAATGCCAAAACCACAATGAAATATCTTCCCACCCCAACTAAAGTAGCTTTTATCAAAAAGACTGTAATTAACAAATGCTGGTAAGGATGTGGAGAAAGGGAAACCCTTGTACATTGTTGGTGGGAATGTAAATTAGTATAGCCGTTATGCAAAATTGTGTGGAGGTTCCTCAAAAACTACAAATAGAGCTACCATATGATCCAGCAATTCTAGTACTGTTATGTATCCAAAAGAAAAGAAATCAATATGTCAGATATCTGTACTTCCATGTTAATTGCCACACTATTCACAATATCCAAAATACGCAATAAATCTAAATGCCCATCAATGGATGAATGAATCAAGAAAATGTGGTATATATACACAGTGGAATGCTATTCAACCACAGAAAAGAATGAAATCCTGTCATTTGCAGCAATATGGACAGAACTATAGATCATAAAATAAGCCAAGCACAGAGAGACAAATATTGTATCTTTTGACTCATATGTGAAAGCCAAAAAACTGGACCTCATGAAGATAGGGAGCAGATTGATGGTTACTAGAGGATGGGAAGGGTGGGAGGGAGGGGGGCTGAAGAGAGGTTGATTAATAGGTACAAGTACACAGTTTGATAAAAGAAATAAGACCTAGTGTTTGATAGATCATTACTATAACTTACAATAATCTCCTGTATATTTCAAAATAGCTAGAAGAGAAAATTTGCATATTTCTAGCATAAAGAAAAGATAAATATTTAAAGTGATAGGTATTCTAATACTGATTTTGTTCTTTTCAAATTATATGAATGTATTATTACATGTACCCTAAAATATATCCTATTATCTATCAAAAATACAGCAGTATAATTATATTTCATCTTTTCTCTTTATATCTTGGAAATTATGAAATTGAACACATTTTGTTTTTGTTTCTGAAAGGTTTGATTGATAGTTAGCAATATGTAAATAATCCATTCTAGTTATAAATCAAGTATATATGATGTTTTCTGGCTTGACTTCATACCCAATACTAGATTTTGACATAAGTCATGACGATTTTTCAATTGTTTCTGAAACATAACACTTTTCTTTAAATTCACTAATATTATTTGTTATTGGTATTTTATATATACTAAATACATTTTAACTCAGGCTCAACATACCTCTAATTAAGCAGATAAATGTAGTAAGATTGAGGCATTAGACAATACTTCTTCCAGTCTACATGTATTAGGTTATGACATCATAGGGAACTTTTACCTTAGGTTAATAGTTTATGAAAACGAATTCTGTAAAAATTGGCATAGGTTTTCTTTGTCAGTCAATGCAGAATCCACTTAGGCTTTTCTTTTTATTTCTGCTATGAAGTTTGCCTATGTAATAATGTTTGTATTCTATAGTATGCAATCATATCCTTCATATACATGCATAACATATATAAATATGTAAGCTATAGAAACTTTCAGAGACTTAGTCCAGAGTAATGCAACGGTTCTCAAACTTTAGTCTGAAAAAGAATCACTTGGAGGGCTTATATAGATCCCCTACAGCATGTCATTTTGGCTGAATAGTGTGTATGTGGAAGGGATGGTACTAATTGGTAAATATACCTGAGTAAAAGAGTAGAATCATCTGTATAAAATTATGTAAATTAGATACTAATCAAAATGTAAAATTATATATGCCAGGGATTCATTATTTATAACATGTAGTACCATTTATACAAACCTAGTAGCTGGCTTGTTTTTCCATTGGCATGTGTGTTTTTATTTGAGAAGCATGCACCTGACATTGTTGATAAACTCTGATGAATCTTGAGAAGTGTTTTCCCTCCATTCCACTTTGATTGACTTGGTACCTACAAGAACATGTGAGAATGATGAATGTTGATTTTGAATTGATAAACCCTGATTGCCATGTCAGTGAACTACATCCTAACTAACCTCATTCTTTCAAATTCTTTTAAATATATTTATCTGTAGGTGTGATGCATTTTTTAGATGTCTATGGAAGTAATGTGATAATACTCCTTTTTCCTTCTTGTTCTTCTAAGGGTAAAGTATGATAGGATAAATATATTGGCGAGTTTCCAAAATATTTACTAAGACAACTTTAAATATCAATATCAACTGTCATTTTAAAAATTTTGTGATTACCTTTATGAAAATGTGTTGTTTATTGCTTCTTGCATCAGATACAACATCTTGGAACGAACAGAACAAGAATAATGAGGAAACATTGCAAAATAATCAAGTTATAAAATAAATAAATAATTGCACTGTGTAAATTCAATCTGTGTTCTTTTCATATGTTAGCTTAAAGTAAACTGTAATGATCTGATAATTAGAAATATTTCCAGAATAAACAATTGAAAAACCCTATCAATTAGCAGGGACTTTATCCAGGGAGCAGTGATCTAGGTATAAAAATTGTGCCTGCTGGCCAGGCGCAGTAGCTCACACCTGTAATCCCAGCACTTTGGGAGGCCGAGGTGGGTGGATCACGAGATCAAGAGATCAAGACCATCCTGGCCAATATGGTGAAACCCTGTCTCTACTAAAAAATACAAAAATTAGCTGGGCATGGTGGCACATGCCTGTAGTCCCAGCTACTCGGGGGGCTGAGGCAGGAGAGTTGCTTGAACCCGGGAGGCGGAGGTTGCAGTGAGCCGAGATTGTGCCACTGCACTCCAGCCTGGTGCCTGGCAATGGAGTCAGACTCTGTCTCAAAAAAAATAATTGTGTCTGCCTTTACTTCAGATAGTAATGGCCTCAAAAACGAGATAGGTATAAGAGATAACGAAAGATAAGAGAAAATGTTTCTTGGAAAAAAGTTTTTTGAACGTCGCAATTGTGAGGCTGTGAAAAATGTACCTCTGAAATTATCTTAGTTTGGCAAAGGTCTTCAAGGACAGTTTAGGGCTCATTCCCCCTAGTGGCAAAGTTTCAGAGCTTCCTAACTTGGATGACATGTCAAGCTGCAATGCTTCAGATGGCTACTGATGTACCAAGACACTAATCTCTTCAGCCTAGGAGGGCCTGTATAGGCCTGAAATATGTGGACTAAGAAGCCATCTCCAATCCCATCAAAAAGTGGGCAAAGGACATGAACACACACTTTTCAAAAGAAGACATTTATGCAGACAGCAAACATATGAAAAAAAGCTTATCATCACTGGCCATTAGAGAAACGCAAATCAAAACCACACTGAGATACCATCTCATGCCAGTTAAAATGGTGATCATTAAAAAATCTGGAGACAATAGATGCTGGAGAGGATGTGGAGAAATAGGAATACTTTTACACTGTTGGTGGGAGTGTAAATTAGTTCAACCATTGTGGAAGACAGTGTGGCGATTCCTCAAGGATCTAGAAGTAGAAATTCCATTTGACCCAGTAATTCCATTACTGGGTATATACCAAAGGATTATAAATCATTCTACTATAAAGACACATGCACATGTATGTTCACTGTGGCACTGTTTACAATAGCAAAGAATTGGAGCCAACCAAAATGCCCATCAATGAAAGATTGGATAAAGAAAATATGGCATATATACACCATGGAATACTAGGCAGCCATGAAAAAGAATGAGTTCATGTCCTTTGCAGGGGCATAGGTACCTTATCTCAAGGTACCTAGAATATTACCAGTTTCTGTTTGATCTAAAAAAAGGTGGGGGGAGATAACTCCTTGAGGTCCCTTTTCTTGCAGTCAAGTCAGTATATTTACTATCTTCTGTCATGCCAGTTTTCGCTTGTCTGGATTGTATGTCTGGAATGCCCTCCTCTTTTCCAACTTCTACACAGAGTATTTCTTAAATAACACACAAGAAGTATGATCCATAATGGAAAAAACTGTTATAACAGTTATCATAGCTTTTAACTTCTGTTTGATGAAAGACACTATGAAAAAAGTGAAAAGACATATCTTAGGCTAGGAAAAAAATGCATGAGATCTTTAAAGAAAACGAACTGTTCTTTTAGTGCAAAAATAGATTAACAAATGCTTTATAACCTTCAAAATGAATAAAATGTATTCAAGTTTGTCATGTAGATAACAAAAAAACTTTTTTTAAAAAAACAACAGAAAGTTCTATGTTGTGCTATTGATGCAAAGATTTGGAATTTCTAAAACGTCTTCTTTAGAAATGTACAATATATGCAGAAAAACTGCATAGCCATGCCTACGAATACCTGTCAGTTTTGTGATTGTGTTCCTTCTGGGAAGGGAAAGAGTGAAAGGAATGGGTATTAACTGGAACGGGAACATTTCACTTCATTTGGTTTTTAAATCTAAAGAAAAAAGTGTCAAAAAGTAAATATATATTTCAACTTCATGATAGGGGTACATTATATTTTACAATCATTGGTATGTTTAAAATGTTGCATAATTTAAATGAAACATTTTAAAAGGATGAGAGAGGAAAAAATGAGTCTAAACTCATTCTTGGTAAATATAATCTTAGTTGATTTTATATATGTATAACACTTAATAATTTCCTCTTTTTGATTAGTATTTGTTAGTTTAATTTCCGCATTAAATTGTACACATTTTAAAGGTTGAGAGTGTCATTTTTATTTCCCTTCTGTCCTCTTCAATGACTAGAATTGCACTAAGCATCTAGTATATATGTAATAATAATTGATTACAGAAAACATGTTCATTAAAATGGGAATTCTCATATATTAAACAAATTAGTGACAGCATTTGCAAACTGCCAGTTCCCAAAGAAACAAATGTATTTATATATAGCAAAGTTTCTTTTGAATCTTCCCACTTTGTCTTTCTCTCCATCCCTCAACTGCCTTCTCCTTTTGTCCCTAATAACATTCTTCCAAATTCACAAAAATCAAGCAAAGCAGATTTTCCTTACAAATAAAGATGAGCTCTAAAATCCTCTCTGTTCCACTCTCCAGCCTGATCATCGAAACCTTTGGGATGAGAATAGAGAAACCCAGAAATGTTAGTGTGAACCCAGGGATATGTCAACCCAGAGTAGGGTTCTTTGACAGACGAAGAAAGTGGTTAAAAAACACCCCATCTTATTGTCTGAGTACAGAAGTTCAATAATTATGGGGACTATCTAGAAAAAAAAATTTTTGAGAAAAATGACTACAGAAGATCAGAGATGTCTGGACAGAAGTAGTATCTTGCTAATAGATTTTCAAATCCTCCCTTTATAATCCGTCAATGTTCTGGTGGATTTTGTTTTATAGTTTTATTTATTTTTATTTTAAATAGTTGATGAATTGTTTTACATAAAACAGGCTAAAACTTTTGGGATATTAGGAATCAGTTATGAATCCTCCAATGTCTCTAGATGCTAGAAACTTACAAGGACATAAATATACAAATATCAATATAATTTCAGGGAGGCTGTAAGCCTACTGAAGCTCATCCATGGATCCTTTATGATTCCATAGATTCCAGGTTAACATACTTGCCTTAAACAGTTCCAGTGCATGGGTATCTGTGTAGAAACAACCTAAAATTATGACTTGTTACTAGATAAGAACTTGTTTTATAAGATTTAAATAAATTATTGATGATTAACTTCTTTTCAAATTGGCCTGTAGTTTTAAACACACACATATAAATGTGTGTATATCTACATATATATATATATATATTCATATAAATTCATATATGTGAATGTATATATACATGTTCCTAGACAGAAAATTCTACAAAATTTAGAGAAAAAGAAAAAAAAAATTTTGACTATTTTTCTAATCTTTAAAACTTTATTTCTGTTTACTACTAAGGCAATTTTGCCAATAGAGAAACACAGGGCATTGAATTCCTTTAAGCTTATTGCCTGATTTTACTAATACTTGAATGCATGATAATTAACATTGAATTTGAATGAAACCAGCATACAAGAAAATAACTGGTTTTCAATCATAATGCCATTGTTTCCTTGGTTGACATCCCAAATTGATGCAACTACATTACTTATTCCTATTCTAGAAACAAACAGCTCTTCCTGGGTAGGACTTCAACATCAAGAGTACTGTCTTCTTGCTCTTTATCTTCTGTAGAACCTTTCACTTACCCTCTGGCTCCTTTCAGCCCCTCTGTGTAGAAGGGAATCCACTTGAGCTCTTCTGTTTTCTCCATGCCATTCTGGTTTCCCATTCACTTGAATGCACACCTTGGCTCCCTGGTCTCTTATTCAACTTAATCTAAATGCAAATTCTCATGATTTACTTATTTTAATCAGTTCACATATCCTTTACTATTGAGTGGCTACGGCATATGTGTAGTTTTGGACTTATACATGTAGTACAAACTGCTTAAAACCCTGGATTTTTAAAATGATATTACAGTGGCCGGGCGCGGTGGCTCAAGCCTGTAATCCCAGCACTTTGGGAGGCCGAGGCGGGTGGATCACGAGGTCAAGAGATCGAGACCATCCTGGTCAACATGGTGAAACCTCGTCTCTACTAAAACTACAAAAAATTAGCTGGGCATGGTGGTGCGTGCCTGTAATCCCATCTACTCAGGAGGCTGAGGCAGGAGAATTGCCTGAACCCAGGAGGCGGAGGTTGCGGTGAGCCGAGATCGCGCCATTGCACTCTAGCCTGGGTAACAAGAGTGAAACTCCGTCTCAAAAAAAAAAAAAATGATATTACAGTAAACATAGCAACTTTAAAGTAATAGAGAGATTAAGAATTTAACATAGGGAGGAATGCAAAAAATGCGGTTGGTATTTGTAAGTAACTGAGGTCTATATATAAAAGAAAACATGAAGGCACAGAAGGAAACCTGCTACTGTGGTGATGGGTATAAAAACTTGAACTCCTGTCTACCACTTCCTTTTATCCTTTGAAGATCAGTATAAATATTACCATCCATCTTTCCTTAGAAATTGTTCTCATTAATGATGAAGGTGATGATGCTGATGATGACGACTAACATTTACTATTTATATGCTAAGTACTCTGTGAGCAGGTTCGTTTTTAATCTTTATAATAATTCTAAAAGAATCTATATAACTTCCATTTTTATCTATGCTCTGAAGTCAAATGATCCTTGCTGAACTATAATTTGAACTCAGACATTCAAAGCATAGAGTTCATATTGTAAATCACTAGGCTATATTTTATCCCTCACGGAAAATTGAATCCGATAGTTCTGCTCTCACTCTATTCCCCTGTCTATTCTCCAAATACTATGCTTTCTAAGCCATAATTTTTCATAGTCATCCAGTCTTATGAATTTGAATGCCGTCTATTCTTTGACAATCCTAAGATGATTTTTTTTTTCCATCCTGGATCCCGCCCCTTGAGCTCCAGACTTCAATATTAACAATTCCAGTTGGATTTCTAATAGACATCTCAACTTGATCATATACAAAACCAAATTCTTGGTTTCTTCTTTTAAACTCTCTTCATCAGTATCTGATAAAATGGCAACTCCACTCACCTAGTTGTTTAAGTTAAAAATGTTAGCATCTTCCTTGACCAAGCCTTTCTTTTTTACTCCAGAATTATACTTTTGAATGCATCCAGACTTTGACCACATCCTCACCTACAGTGCTACTAGCGGGGACTAGTCTCAGCCACCACTGTCTCTTGTTCGATTAACTGTAATTTCTTTCTAGTGCATCTCTCTTCTATCGATTTTGCCCAAAAATGGTATAGAGGTCAGGAGTCTTTTAAACCAAGTTATGTCATTCTTACTTAAAAACCCCTTTAAAATAGAAAGCATGGATTTCTCATATTGCTCAGACCTGGACCCTGGCATCAATTCTGATCTCTTTCTCTCCTTCACCCACTCTACTTAGCTATAGCATCATCTGTGTATTCTAGGCCTATTCTTTCTATCTCGAGTGATCCTTCTACAAATATCTATATGGTTAGTTCCTTTACTTTCTTTACAATTCTGTCAAATGCCAAGTTTTTCCTAACATACTAAAATAAGAAAACTTACTCCCCATCTCCCCTTCTCCTTTAACCTGCTTCATTTTTCTCCATAGCATAAAATACCACCTGACTTACTGTGTATTTACTTGCATCTCCCCAGTTAAAGTGTAAGCTCCATGACTGCAGAGATTTTGTTTGGCTTACCTCCATATCCCCAATGCCCAGAACTATGCCTAGCACATAATGTTTGTTGAATAAATTAATAAATTTTCACTTCCACTACTGGTGTATGTGAGGGCCTATGTCAACTCATTCCCAAGAGCATGAATTTTTATGTTACTTTTTCTTAACGTGAAAAGTAATTCACTATACAAAGCGATACTCTAAAAGAAAGCAGTAAAGTCAGATATATATTTGAAATGACTTTTTTTGCTTGGCTAGAACTTCCAATACTATACTGACTAGGAATGGTGACAGAGGTCATCCTTGTCTAGTGCCGGATTTGAAAGGGAGTGCTTCCAGTTTTTGCCCATTCAGTATGATATTGGCTGTAGGTTTGTCATAAATAGCTTTTATTATTTTGAGATATGTTCCTTTGGTACCTAGTTTATTGAGAGTTTTTAGCATAAAACGCTGTTGAATTTTGTCGAAGACCTTCTCTGCATCTATTGAGATAGTCATGTGGTTTTTGTCTTTGGTTCTGTTTATGTGGTAGATTACATTTATAGACTTTTAAAATTGTACTTTAGGTTATGGGGTACATGTGCAGATCACACAGGATTGTTGCATAAGTACACACATGGCAATGTGCTTTGCTGCCTCCATCCCCCCGTCACCTACATCTGGCATTTCTCCCCAAGTTATCCCTCCCCAACCTCCCCACCCCCCACTGTCCCTCCCTTGCCCCCCTCAACAGATCCCAGTGTGTGATGCTCCCCTCCCTGTGTCCATGTGTTCTCATTGTTCAACACCCACCTATGAGTAAGAACATATGGTGTTTGATTTTCTGTTGGTTCCAGGTCTTTGCTATTATAAACAGTGCCACAATGAACATACATGTGCATGTGTCTTTATAATAGAATGGTTTATAATACTTTGGGTATATACCCAGTAATGGGATTGCTGGGTCAAATGGAATTTCTATTTCTAGGTCCTTGAGTAAGCACCACATTGTCCTCCACAATGGTTGAACTCGTTTACACTCCCACCAACAGTCTAAAAGTGTTCCTATTATTTCTCCACATCCTCTCCAGCATCTGTTGTCTCCTGATTTTTTAATGATCGCCATTCTAACTGGCGTGAGGTGCTATCTCAATGTGGTTTTGATTTGCATTTCTCTAATAATCAGTGATGATGAGCATTTTTCATATGTTTGTTGGCCTCATATATGTCTTCTTTTTAAAAGTGTCTGTTCATATCCTTTGCCCACTTTTGAATGGGTTTCTTTTTTTTCTTGTAAATCTGTTTTAGTTCTTTGTCAATTCTGGATATTAGCCCTTTGTCAGATGGGTAGATTGCAAAAATTTTTTCTTCTTTCTCTTTGGTTTCAAAGAACGTCTTTATTTCTGCCTTCATTTCATTGTTTATCCAGTCAACATTCAGGAGCCAGTTGTTCAGTTTTCATGAAGTTGTGCGGTTCTGAGTTAGTTTCTTAATTCTGAGTTCTAATTTGATTGCCCTGTGGTCTGAGAGACTGTTTGTTATGATTTCTGTTCTTTTGCATTTGCTGAGGAATGATTTACTTCCAATTAGTGGTCAATTTTAGAGTAGGTGGCTTGCGGTGCTGAGAAGAATGTATATTCTATGGATTGGGGTGGAGATTTCTGTAATTGTCTATTAGGTCTGCTTGGTCCAGATCTGAGTTCAAGTCCTGGATATCCTTGTTAATTTTCTGTTTCATTGGTCTGTTTAATATTGACACTGGAGTGTTAAAGTCTACCACTATTATGGTGTGGGAGTCTAAGTCTCTTTGTAGGTCATTAAGAACTTGCTTTATTTTTATTTTTGACCAAACAACTAATAAGGAATACACACAGTACTCTCATAATTAGTATAATTACTTAAAATGTGGAGAAATAAAAGCATGCAAAAGTTTATCAAAATTCAACAGTGCTCTTATTAGTAACTGCTGTCATTTACACTTCCCTCTGGATTGCCTAGGTCTCTCATTATGTCATTCCAACAGCAGGGCAGGTGTTACAAGTGACTGGGATATGTTTGATACTTGTTGGCAAAGGAGGCTCTATTTCAGTTCCTCCTTGAATCTTCTTTCCTGTGAGAGCCTTTCAACAGAATATTAAAGGGAGCAGAGAAAGCCAAACACAAATGATGCATACTCCATAATCCTCAGACATAGCTTTTCCTCATCACCAACTCTTTGGCATAGGAAGATCAGAGAAATTTTTCTTGTTGCTGATATTTTCCCTAAAGTTCCCAGCCTTCACATTTATAAATAGGGAGTTAAGGCTGTAAGAAAAGAGTAGAAAGAATTTAACATCTGCAAAGTCAGTCTATGTTTGAAAAAATATAAGTTTAATAATGATGAGATTATTATGTTAATATTCATCATAGAAAATTCTTTTAGACAGTTCTTTCAAAAATATTTGACTCTTTTTTATGTATAAAGCCCTATTTTGGACACTGGAGCTAGATCCGTTTCCTGCCTCATAAAACCAAAAATTTAGCAGGGGAGACAAAACAAATCACAAATTTATGCCAATAATTGCTACAAATTAAAATTAATCACATTAAAACATGCAGAGTAAGTATTGACTTCACCAATAAGTTTTCAAAGTTCTGTAATATGAAAGTCTGAACTAAAAGGGCTTTGGTTATGAAATATATTTGTGACTTAAAGTTAACAAATTGAGAAACATATATTGAAATAGATTCAATATGAAAAGCATTATTAAATCACTCTCTAAACCATCTGTATCCCAACCCTTAGCACCACACAGTATACTCATATAACAACCCTTGTACCTGTCCCCCTGAATCCAAACAAAAAGTCCTTGGCATATTAAAATAAATCATTCCCGGATCAGTAATATCAATGGAAGGAAAAAGGTGAAAACCGTAGACATGGTGTATTAGAGATGTCTAATACAGGCCTTTTCTAGTTATATTTCTTCCATTATTGTCTCTCACAGCAGCACCCTACTTGTTTTATTGTGCAAACTAATCATCATCATTATATATACATATATAAAATTTATATATCGTATACTAATTTGTTTGCATTGCTTATTTGATTATCTGTCCCTGTTGTAGAATACCCGCTTCTTGAAGGGAGGAATATTGTCTGTGTTGTTCTTTTTTCTGTCTCCTGCATAAAGAACAGAGCTGGCATGTAGTTGATGTTTAATAAATATTTATTCAGTAAATATTTAAAGCGAGCCCATTATGTCACACTCTTATTCTGCATATATTTTATTGAATGTGTGTCAAATATGACAATGTTCAGTGCCTTAAGGTTACTTTTTCTTATAAAACATGTTATAGAAAAAGAATTCATTAGCATCTACCCAAGACAATGCCTCTCTCCTACACTTAACTAGTCCTACAAATTAATTAGTACCTTTATAGGCTCTGTTGGTGAAAGTAATTTTTTGCATTATAAGTAGTACATAAGAAATATGAAATCTACCTTTTTAAATGATCATCCACAATTTTTAAAAACAGATTGTATGTTTATCAAATTGTTGTTTTTATTGTAAATCAACTTGAAGCAGTAGTTTTGATCAGCATACGCAATATAAATGAGGACACAAAAATAAGAGAGTGGAAATGAATTATAATTGTTTTGTTGCTTTTTATAGATAATGTACATATTGGATATTAAATATATAAATATAGATAAGATGTATATCTTTATTTTATACATGTAAAAATATTTATTATGAGAAATTGGCTCATGTGATTAAGGAAGCTAGAAAGTTAGAAGATCTGCAGCAGGCAAACTGGAGGGCAAGGAGATCCAAATGGTATAGTTGTAGGTTGAGTCCAGAGGTATGAAAACCAGGAGAGCCAACAGTACAAGTTTCAATCTGAGAAGTGAAGCCTTCTTAGGCTTGAGGCCCAAGGAGAGCCAGTATTCAGTCTGACTTTGGAGATGATTGATGTTTCAGCTCACCCCGTTAGGCAAGAGAAGTTCCCTCTTAGTCTTTTTGTTCAATTCACTTCTTCAGTTGATTGGAAGAGGCACATTCACATTAGGGAGGGCAATCTTCTATGCTGAATCTACCAATTCAAATGTTAATCTCATCCAGAATAACCTTCACAGACTCTCCAAGAATAATGTTTGACAAAATGTCTGTGCATCCCACGGCCCAGTCAAGTAGACACAAAATTGACCATCACAACTTCTCAGTTCAGATACCTCCTTAGTGAAACTTCCCTGTCCCTGTAGTATATTACCCTCCCTTGAATTGCTTGGGAGCACAATATGCTCTTTTGTATTCTTCAGAATTCTCATTCTCCAAACTTATTCCTTTTTTTTAAAAGATATTATTGGCATAGGAAAATGTTAATGACAAAACATTAAGTATGAGAAGTAATTATGTTTCATTTGTGTGTCAAAATTGGCCTTCTTATATATTTAAGGTGAACTGAGGTGCTGCTCTGGGTATCTTTAATTTCTTTTCTCTGCCCACCCACCACCAACTCAGCACAGTGAAGGCCAGTCCAGCAACCATTGCAGGAGCAAGGCCATCTTATCCTCAAAGGTCAGGGAATAAGGGGCAAACTTGAAGACTCATACACTAAAACCTGTTTCCTCTCCTGTATTTCTTATTATCTAAGAGCCAGAAAGCACATGTCTACTTTAAATACATACTCATATATGTATTCACATAGAACAATATTTAGCAAGCTTTTAAGATGTTATATAATTGAAAAAAAAAATAGAGAAAAAGACCTTGTTCAGATAATTTATTTGTCAAAATAAGAGGTTTTAAAGTAAAAATCTGGCCAGGTCCAGTGGCTCATGCCAGTAATCCCAGCTTTGGGAGATCGAGCTGGGAGGATCACTTGAGGTCAGGAGTATAAGACCAGCCTGGCCAACGTGGTAGAACTTTGTCTCTACTAAAAATACAAAAATTATCCAGGGGTGGTGGCATTTGCTTGTATTCTCAGTTACTCTGGAGGCTGAGGCATGAGAATCACTTGAATCCAGAAGGTGGAGGTTGCAGTGATCTGAGATGTGAGATTGCAACACTGCACGGCAGCCTGAGTGAACAAGCAAGGCTCTGTCACAAAAAAAAAGTCGCAATTACAGTACCATACTTAATGTGCTATAAGCAATTTTGAGTATAGTATAGGGAACAAAAATCATTACTATATAACTCATTAAAACATTCACAAAGATATATCTTATTTAATAGTTCTTTTGCTCTCTTTGGTATTAAACATATGTCTCACCAAATTATAGCTGTCCAAAATTTTATGAGACTTGTATTTGCAAATACTAATCAATATTAGTATATTTACATATTTTATGTAATATATATAATACATATACATATTATATATATGTATAATTATATATGTATAATATTTATATATATATTTTTTTTTGAGATGGAGTTTTGCTCTTGTTGCCCAGGCTGGAGTGCAATGGTGCAATCTGTGCTCACTGCAACCTCCACCTCCCAAGTTCAAGCTATTCTCCTGCCTCAGCCTCTCCAGCAGCTAGGATTACAGGCACACACCACCACGCCCAGCTAATTTCTGTATTTTTAGTAGAGACGGGGTTTCACATGTTGGCCAGGCTGGTCTCAAACTCCTGACCACAGGTGATCTGCCCACCTCAGCCTCCCAAAGTGCTGGGATTACAGGTGTGAGCCATTGCGCCCAGTCCAATCATATTTTACAGTAGTTGAGTGAATAAAAAATAAATTTAGAAAAATTAATACAAAAACCTACAACTTAAAAAGGAAATAAAAATTTACAAATAGAATTACCAAAATAAGGAAGAGTCAAGACCCACCCCCAAATTAGAGATTTTAAAATAATGATGTTTAAATCAGTTGAAAGTTTAAAACATTACATACCTAAATGACACAGGATGTATCTTATGCCATAAGAATAATCGTTTGATTTGTAAGACAATTATTTATGAACAAGTAAGTATTTAGAGAAAGATGATTACTTTTAGATATTGTTTCTCAAAATGTCCTATTGACATTTCTAGTTCAAATTTAAGTTAAACTGATTTTCAGGTGTTTTAGCCCTGTATTTTTTGGCTTTTGGCTAATAATAAATGCAGAAGAGGCAACAGGTATTAGTGTATGAGTCTCAAACCCTTCCCCTCATTCCCTGACCTTTGAGGCTTAGGTACCTTTGCTGCCGTGGTGGCTGCTGGCCTGGTCTCCACTGTGTTGAGTGGGTGGTGAGCAGAGAAGAGTAACCTAAGACACCCAGAGCAGCACCTCACTTCACCTTTGAGGATGCAAAGAGTGGCTCAAGTCAAAACAGGTAGAGGGAGAGACCCCCAGTGGACAAGAGGAGAGAAAGAGAGATGAGCTGATGCTGATTGAAGTCAGCAAGAACTGAGGAGAGAGAGAGGAGAGAGAATATGGTGCAGCTATTGGGCCACATAAAAAACAGAGGGAAAAGGAGAGGGTGAAAGGGTATGTTAAGATAACTGGTCATGTTACTTCCCAAGAGAACTCAAGAAAACTTTGAATTTCTTACAATGCATTTATTAGAACATTAAATTTCTTTGCATGTAATACCATGTACAAGGTGGGCCAGGTAGATCACCTTTATATGGGAGGATGAGATCTAGGCCCTCTATTAAACAAAAACCCATATTAAGATTTTTATAACTTTAAGTACTAATCATCTGGTGTTCAAATACTATCATCAAATACCATCATCTCTACTTCTAAACAAAGCTCAAACTTGATCATTTCCCAGTCCTTCTCTTTCTAACTGCTGCATAATCTTGACTTGTCTCCTCTTATATATCTTCATATTTCTACAGCAGCCAAAGAAATTCCTTTTAAGTGTAAATCATATTATCAATCTTCTGATTATTAACCTTCCAGTGGTTTCTCATCAAACTCAGAATAAAATGCTCACCAAGACTTCTAAGGCCCTCCATGAGCTCTGTCCTTTTGAACTCTACATTTCATCTCTTTCTTGTTCACTTTTACATACCAACTCTGTCTAAAACGAGTTCCCACCCATCATTTTCTCAATTTGTACTCTATATTTCTTCTTATAACACCCATCAGTGTTATAAGATGGGTGTTATATCTTGTATTTCTCTATTTTTTTCTATATCCTTTTCTATAATGTACACTCTATAAGGGCAAAGACTTTGCTCTGTGCACAGCTGCTGGTCCACAAAACTAATACCTTTCATTCTAAGGTTGAATTAGAAAAGCCAGAGATTCAATGTTATCAAATAATCAATTATCTGTGTAAGAAGTGCTACTAAGGTGAGGCTCAGTGGCTGAGGC